TTTGAGGAATACCTACGAAGAAAACAGGTGTAAAAATACCAGAGATACCAGAGAGCCTATATCAAATTAGGACACCCTACTAACAATATGTGTGTTACAAACCTAGTGGACAGTGTTGCAAGAGGAATGGGTTCTATCCTTGTCATACAACCACAAAAATCTTATAGGTTTGGACCAATTTATTTCAAAAAATTTACAATCCCTTCATTAAAAACACCCCTGGCATGGAAACTGTAAAAATAATTATTTGAAATTAACTGGAAATATTTATTTAAAAAAATCATAAAACAGTTTAGAAAAGTTTAATCTGTTATTAAAATTACAGTTTATAGAAATAATAATTATGCAACCATTCAACATTTATTTGACTAAAAAAGTTCTGGGATATTCAAGACTAAAAATTCAAGATATCTATGTCTGTGTTTCTAGTGGGGATGAAATCCCACTCGATTGTAGAAAAGGCCTGGGAAGTATGCACCTTATAAAATTCACAGCTACAACACATCAGAGGAAATTACTATAATATTGCTGTGATCACGGGCACGAATAATTTTAAAATGCCGTAGTAACACGTTTACATTTATTCTGTAAAAGGAGTGAATTATCAAGAATTTACTATTCCTTGGTACCATCAATACAAAATTTAAAAATACAAAACCAAGATTCAGAACGGATTAAACAGACTGATTTTAAATCAACCTGTTTTTCTAGCAATCAGCAACTCGCTATTAAGGTTAGTCAAGCTGTACTAACTTTACCAAGTCTTCTCTGGAAGCAGCCCATGATGGCCTTGTCCTCCATCACTCGCAGATCGCACCATAGCGCCAGGTCCATACCGACCCCCACGGCGTAACCAGACACTGCTGCCACTAGCGGCTTAGATACATAGCGGTCTGTCAGTCTCTATAATAAAAACATACTGTGGATAGCCAACAATATGGTACAACACGTTACAACAATATATGCCTTGTCATGTTAATGAGTGTAGGCTAGAAAGTGTAGTCTAAATTTACAGTTGTTTGGTGTTTTTATTTAGCTTCACCAAAGAATGTTGGTTTCTGTGATTTGTTTTTTGTTAATCTTTTCATAGGGGCCCATTGCCTTTTCTCATCCCTTGCTAGAATTAGGCAAATAGATCTAGGCCTACATGATTTTAGAATCACAGTTTTTAAAGCTATGCGATTTTTGAAAAAATAATCAAACTGTCACTTCACTTCAATTCAGAAATCGGCATAAAATGCTTACAAGTCCAGTGAGTTTTTCTGCCAGATTAGGGTCGTTGCTCATCTCCTTCAAGTCAAAACCTGAACAGAAGTTTCCAGCGACACCATGTATGACTCCGACTGCAACACTGGTGTCTTCCTCGAACTGGGAGATGGCATCTGATAACCGGCTTGCTGCTTCGTAATTCAGAGCATTGCAAGTCTCAGGACGATTTATCCCGATGGTCATCACAGTATTCATTTTATTAACAATAATCACATTTCCTGTAACAATAAACTTAGTTGTTAGTGCATTTTCAACCTCCATTTTTTATGATACTGTAACTTGGTTAAAACCATTTGTAAAGTTTAATAGTAGGTTAGGCCTACAGTTTCTATTCAGAAAATGTTGGGAACATGGTAAGAAATAGGTTAGACATAAATTCTATAGCAAAGTAGCCTATGTTTTTTATTTAGCTTTACCTGGTCTCAACATTAGCACCGCCCACACTCTATGTTAGACCTCAGCTAATGTGAGCCCTTTTTTAATATGCTGAGAAGATGATGCAGCATGATTTAAAAAATGCTACACTTGTTAATTTATTTATTCATTCTCAACAGTAATGTAAGTGGAGAATGAGTGATAACACAACCCATTCATGATACAACCCAACCTGATATAACTGCCGCAGCGCTGTGTATAAGGGTGGCCTTAGTATATTATTTGGATGATACCAAAGTATCAAATAAACTTAGCCTACCTACCTAATAATAACTAGGTACTGTAATTTACCTGGTGAGTTGTTTGTGGTGGTAGAAAATGTCCTCAAATTACAGAAAAAAATTCTTTGAAATAATTTTTGATGTACCATCATTGTCAGGGCTATCTTACCTATATTTACACTTGCACTTTTTACTTGGAGCCTTAACTTACCGTATTACAAATAGTAGCCTGATAGCTCAAATAAAAAAAAATTCAATCCCGAAAATAATACCAATGTCTATAATTTAGTATTGTCGCGCCATATAGTATTATTTATTAGTACAGTATAGAAATATTGAACATGTTGTAAAAATACTGAAAGCAAAAATGTTAGCCTAGAATAACAGTCCAACACCTCCCCGACTTGAGACTCGACCACTCAACTCTCCAAGACAAAAAGTGTGAGTGAAGTGGGAAATTTTAGCTCAGTGATGAAGAAGGTCTATTCTTCTCTGATTTTGACTGATTTGAATTTGATTTAATGATTTGTGATTAGACAATTTTATTTTGCCAAACACGTTAACACAAACATAACAATACAGACGACACTGACAAGTGGCAAGTGGCAAGGCAACATTTTCCGAAAGAAAAACTAAGAAAAAGGCCTTTCGCTTTCGGCACAGTGTGACGGCAATAGGCATTAGGCATTTATAACATGCCGTTGAACCAACGATTAAATCTATGAATTGTGTGAATATGAGGCTATACTATATTACAACGTTATAGTATTAGCATAGATTAAACAAACTCTCTTTTAAAATAAAATAATTACTAAAAGGGTACTTTGTTATATATGTTTTAATTTTATTATATTAGCAGCCCTAAAAATGCAAGAAAATAAACTCTCTTTGATATTAGTGTATTTTTTTAATTTTACAGAATAACTTTTTGTTTTTCAAAACATACTCCTCAAGGCCTTAAGCCTCGAGGAGTATGTTTCATCTATGCTATTGCCGTAGTACTCATGGTAAGACCTGGACCCGGGACCGACTTACTTTTTAGTTTTGAGGTCCCTAGAGGCTAAAAACACTATCGGTTCAAATTAATATTTAAATGTGCGTGTGTACGTTAGTACGATAACTCAAGCAAAAACCTTATAAAACGAAAAAGTAAATCGGTCCTGGGTCTAGGTCTTACCATGAGACCTGGGGCCCATTTCATAATAAACTACAAGTTACAAGTTACAACTTGTAACTTGTAATTTCCATTAGATTTGCATTGGGCGATCAGCTGATTTACTAATAATATTAGTTTGTACTTTATTATGAAATGGGCCCCTGCGGTAATATCTTATTCCCTATATGGGAAATTCACTAAAAGAAGCAGTACCAATACAACTTGTATGTAACGCTACATTACATTATTATTAAGTCTAAAGCATGGTGGATGGAAAATACATATGTGTGCTTTTCCCGTCATATGCTGACGTCACGCAGATTAAAAAAAAATAAGCTGATTGTATTGCCATATAAGTATATATTTGTTTTGATCATCGATGTATAATAACTCCCTGGATTGCGCGCTCAGGTTGAAGTAGGGCTCGAAAAACGGTCCGTCGCTACCTCGCTCTGTCCGCGAGGAGTGGGGATAAAGGCATGACTCACCCTAGTGGCGAGCGTCGCGCCCGCTCTCGCCGTGTATTGCTATGTTAGTTTTGTGGAAATATTCCGAGAATAATTGATTGTAACGAACTTAAGGAGGTTTTATAAGCAGATATAATTAATCTACGTACTTGCTCATACTTTATAGACTATGTGTCAAAGGCAAATCTCATAAGAAATGTAGTGGTGATATAAAAGAGTTAGATTTATTTTTATTTGAACATTAACCAGAGCAAAGTATATCACAATAATTATTTCATCAAAAATGCATGTCATCATTTGCTTCGGTGAGGCCCAATTATTATTGAGAGACTTTGCATCATTTAAGAATATATATTTTGTTTATATTATAGTATGTTTCTTTGTCATACTGTGATTAACGTGTTTGGAAAACATATTATGTTGCTAAGTAAAATGAGTGTATAATATTGAATGTCAATATCTTAAATGTATTCATTATTCTCACTGAAGTAAAGTAATAACAAAATATTTTCTTAGGTATTAAATACTGCTGTAAAATCCAACATTTATTCTTTGATTCAAAGAATTTTCTTAACTATAGACTACCGGTAAGCATAAAAATGCATAAACATACGCCTGTAAATTTAGTTACCATTCTTCGTAATGTAATGCCATATTTGATGTAATATAATGATAATTAAATGCTAAAAACTCGGTTTCTATATCCCGTAAACTGATGCTGAGCCGGCCGAGCTCCTAGCGCCAATGCCGCGCCAAGCGATTTTATGCCTATTTTTAATCGCTTAAAAATGATACAAGCAGGCTCCGTATCAAAGAAAGCTTCAAATAAAAAATAAAATTCATACTTTGATCTAAAACTTTGCCACAGGAATTTTTTTCCTGACCAAAAAATAAAAAAGTTCCTCGCTTACTACATTTTTCATGTTTTGAATGGTGTTAAAAAACAATCATCCGTTTTAATTTGCCTAAATAAATTAGAAAAAATATGTTAATGTTAAAACTAGCTACATAGTAATGAGCACTGGGTTTTCCAGAAAAATAATATATCAATTTGAATTTTTTATGTTAACAAATAAGTGTAGCAGAGCAGGTTGAGTGAATGTATGTTTGTGTAAATCAGAGAGGTTCATTCGGCCCGTCCGCCTCGGTATCCCACCAATTCGACTGGTGGGCACGGACCGTTTTTCCACCACCTAGCGCGCTATCCAGTAGAGTTATTATACATCGATGGTTTTGATAGGATTGTTATTGTTTTTATACTTTTTCTAAATATGGTAAAATGGTGTTTGCAATCTGAGTGACGTCAGTATATGACGGGAATAATAACACACCTATGTATTTTAGTTTCACCATGAGTCTGAAGTGCGGTAAAGACAGCAAGCGAAAAAAAGAACTATTTCATTTAATTTTTTTCATGTGTTTTCTATTTCTATGTTTTGTTTACATTTTGTTGTTAAATGTCAATGTAGGCTAGATGCTAGATAATATTTTTATTTCGTCTAAGTTTGCCCGGCATTTAGAGTTTAATATGTTTATAGCAATTAGCAACTAACGATTTTTAGTAATAAAATGTTAGGTTTGTTATCAACAAATAGAGCATCTTTACAACTGACTCTCGCAATTCTGAAACCCCATGTCGTAAAGGCATCTCATGCTTTAGAGGTTAGTTTTAATTAAATTTTATGTGTCCACAGAGAAGCAACATCTTTGTAGCCTAATGTAGGCCCATCAAAGTATTTTTTTTCGGGCACAGTTCTGTAGTGATTGTTTAATTTGATAAGATCGTATTTAATATTATTATATTACCTACATATCGGTTATAATTTGGTTTAATATTAATGTTGCATCGAATTTAGTTTGAAGTTACCACAAATTTTGTTATAGGCCTAGGCTTAGGCTAAATAAAAACAGTAGCTTAAGAAAAACATTAATAATGTGGATTATTTTTATCCTTGGTTTTATTCTAAATTTCTACGACTGAAATTGGAAGAAACTACTTAAGACATTTCCAAATTCTACGGCCAATCATATCAAAAAGTTTTGGCTAGGCCTGCTTTAATAACGTTCATTGGCTAAGTATATTTTGTTTTTGATTGAATAGGCCTATCCGATTGATAAGTTAGATTCATTTATTAAACGTCAATTAAGTTAAAACGTCAACAGATCATTAACTTACTCTATTTGATGTTGGTTTACGTTTATTAATCACTAATAAAAATGTAAACAGATCATAACTTAACTCAATGCGATGTTTACATTGGGAAACAAATTTTGGAAGCGATATATGGAACCAAACTATAACTGCTATAGATTAACTTATATCAATAATTCAACCAATACGGTCCTATATTAGCTTACAAGTTCTCTGCAGAGCTGTAGGCTACCCTTTTAGCGATTTCCCATAAGTTAAGTTATTTAGGCTCAAGGCTCATGTTTTTTTCGACTAGTTACAGTCAGTCTCCTTCCGATTATTCACACTAATTATCCATCCAGTAAATATTTAAATCTGTTGGAATGCGATCACGTGACATGATCCCCCTTACCATCCTCCACCATATGACAGGTGGCGCTGTGGCTGCGTGGTGTTGGCGCGGTGCCAGGCGTAAGTTAAGCGTAAGCGTATAAGTATGACTCACTCACACTCACTACTCACCGGGGTGGCTCCTCAGTGGCTGCCGCGAGGCTCGGGTTCCGTAATCCCGCCACTGACGCTGTCAAACGATGTTTTATATTCTTTTGTGTTTTAAATGTCGTTCGTAGGTTTTTATTAAATCAATACAACAATTGAAATAATCCATAATAAATCAGACATATTTTAGGCACATATCTGTTCTTTATTTTATTATTTATATTCAAAATCTTTAACTTAAGTTATTATCAGCGATAGTAAGGCCTCGCTGCACGAGGCCTTCCCCGGCGCGAGGCCTGGAGCGGCTGCTCCACTCGTTCGACCCTAAGGACGGCGCTGCCCGTCTCTCCCATACCAAAGTCTGAGATGTTAAACTTAACCAATAGGCTAAGAACACACCCATTTCATTGATTATCAATCACTTAAGGTAGCCTACCTAGGCCTACCGATATAAATTCTGATAAAAAAACTCGGTTTAAAAACAAAATTATCTTGAAGTTGTAATATTTTTCACAAGGTATTGCATAGGTCTACTTCATAACTCCTTAAACCATAGTCCAACTTTTGCATTGCAACATTCAGTAAAGCATATCTAAAATATAGACGGAACTAACTCCTAATCCACACGTAACTTAGTTCCTTATATTCTTCAATTTAATGTGATCATTCTTATAGGAAGTCATGTAAGTTTAAGTTTAAAATTTGTATGAAAAATGCTACGGTACTAGCCTATCTAAAATATAGGCTCCAAGTCTAAAGCCATATTTTGCTTAACATATAGACTATTAGCGTGGTGGGTTAAAATAAGGTTGTTTTATTTACAAATTTTCAGAGCAGCAGCCACTCAAAGATTTTGCTGGGCTCGCTTTCCCACACCATGCTGTTTTGTAGGGTTTTCCGCTGTGTTTGCACTGGAGTTTAGAACAAAATGTTTGAGGCCTAACTTTTTGTTGCTAGGCCTACTTGTTTCTAATTCGTCTGTAAGAAAAGTGTACAACAGATAGTGCACTTTTCTTTGATTTTGTTCGAAATAATTTTTTATTTTTTTGTCTTTTTATTTTTACCTGAAGTGTGTGAAGCTGTAATAGATCTACATAAAGGGTTGGTGTGAGGGGTAGTGGGGAAGTATTTTAAAATGCCTAGAAGCACTGAAACACGTGTTCCAAACAAATGTTTAGAACACCCTGTGATCTTTACCGACCTCTGACGGGAAACAAAATTTCTGTTGTAAACACTAAAAACTGTTCCGAACATAAAAAAATGTTTCTTTTCATAATGTAGTGTTTCTTGGTTTTTTTAGGAACATTTGTTGTAAACAGTAAACTCCGGTGAAACACGGCTTAAGGTGGGGAAATGAAACTACAGTCACCCTTTCTTTGAATTTTCTGTGACTTTTCAATTTATCTTGCATGGAAAGATTAACACAAAACAAGTTTATGATAAAATAATAAATGTTTTCTTTACAGGGTATTCGGAGGATTATCAAAGATAACAAGTTTAAAATTGTGAAGTCATGCGTTTTAAAAATATCACCCCAACAAGTTGAAAGTTTTTATGGGGAACACAAAAATAAATTTTTCTACAATCGTTTGGTTACATCTATGATGAGGTTAGTCAAGTTAGGTTGTATTTCATAATATAAGTTAATCACACATGTTTTAAATACTCAATCCTATTTTAAAATAAATCGGTCCTATAAGTTATGTTTCTTAAAATAAGTTGTCTGGCTTATTAAATTGGTTGTATCAGAAATCTGTTATTTTGTTACCTCTTGATCACATTATTAATATGAATGCACTAAATAAAAGTAAATGATACTCATTACAATAAGTAGGCCTAATAACTATTTGGAGACATTTGTCTCTTGTAACAATAACTGGGAAGTGTATGATGTTACCCCAAGATTGCAAAGAATGGTACTTATATATTGTTTAACCTTGCTTTTTAAGTTTCAAGAAAGTATTTTTTTAAGCCATAAATAGCTGATTGAACAAATTAGAGTTTTATGAAACTAAGTGGGACACAGTAGGCTACTCAATTAATTTTAGAGTTTCTACCCAATGGTATTAATAGTGTAGCTGTCTACTATTCCACACTACATTAGCTTAGAAGATAGTAATTCTGCCCTTTTGAGGCTAGGGTAGAGCTACTAATTAAAATAATTAACTGTTTATCAGTGCCACTATTCATCAGATTTATATATGGTTACATTTGTTTACAGTGGAGAATCTGAGGTGTACATATTAGCTAAAGAGAACGCAATCTCTGATTGGCGCCAACTGATGGGACCGACCAAAGTTTACCAGGCAATATTCACTCATCCAGACAGCATCAGAGGCTTATACGGCCTGACTGACACAAGAAACGCCACTCACGGATCAGGTAAACTACCCAGTCAACGTAAACTAGACTCCATTTTGTTTGGTTTGGACGACCAACATCATGACTCACGCTCTTGCACATTATTATGTGTACCACTTAGTCTATAGCCAAGTAAACAAATCAAATGTACGGATTGTGCAGCCCTGTTTGGATTTTACAGTTCTAATATCCTTATCAATGAGTTAATAAAAGATGTGTGCATAATTGTTTCTAGAAACTTCTAATAGGTCAGACTTTTGTTAGTTAAGTGTCTAGAAGTAGACTATCAAATGAGATAGTCAACTGTATTTAAAAATGTTGTGGTATTGAGTTAGGAAGTAGAAGCATACTACACATTTTTGAGCATCCAGATATAAATGAATCGGTCCAAAATTTGTTTCTGTAAAAGTATTGTAGACATTTACATAATTATTAACAATACCGTCAGATCATTCGGCCATTTTTTAGTCTTAAACGGTCCAACCAACCAGAAGGAGTTTTCCGTAGGAAATTTTATTTTATCACCAAATTAATTTATGAGGAATGACCTACATGTAAATTAAAGTCTCTATTGTGCCTCTGTCACAGCCAGGTTAGCTAGTTCAAATCTGAGATCAACTTCAGGTTCCTTACTTTATCCACTATAAAATTTTTTTTAGAGATGTTCCCACTGCTATAGGACGATTAGTCAGATTTATTAGGGACTAGTATTAGGAAACTTTGTGAAAGAAAATTCACACCCTCGCCAACTATGAATCGTATTCTGTGATCATATTTCTGTCTCAGTAGTCGACCGCTTTTTTAAGTACATCTCCAAACAATGGACGGGAATGGAGTTTAGAGTTTGGAAGTGGTAAATTTGCCGAGTGGTGGATTTTGGAGGTGGTCTTGAGCATTTTCGTGATATTTTCCATGGTGTAGTCTGACTGCTGTTGTTGGAGTAGTGGCTAAAAGTTTGAGAATTTTTAATTCAAATCTCGGTGTGATTGAACAAGAAAAATTGTTGAACTAATAGGGCACGTCTCCATAACTATCAAGGTCAGCGGATCAGCAAGCAACAGTTACGTAAAATTTAGTCTCTGTCTTGATAGAAACTCTTGAACACCTGCTGCTGGTACCATAAGAAAATGTGTACGGCCTTGGGCATTCTACAAACTACCTAAGCAACTTAATCACATTTTCTATGTAAAAACACTTTTCTGCCTACACATCTGTCATCTGGCAACAGTAATCAACAGGGATTGATCCCCTTCCTACAGAATCCTAGAAACACTGAACACAAATAATTTTTTGGCAGGAGCGTCAATTTTCTTTCACGACTTTCAATTGAGACCTTAATTTACGTACAATCCCGCCCCTCTTTCTCTACGGTAACAAATTGCTGTTCTTATGTTCTTCTTCTACGGCATTGTCTACCTTTTCCAGATTCTATGGATTCGGCTGCGAGGGAAATTTCTGTCTTCTTCCCGGATTTCAACATACGAAGGTGGCTTATTGAAAATGGTGGCCTAGTCAATATTGAAGGGGTAAAATCTACATCACATCACCAAATAACAAGCCAAAATCAGATTGGAAACAGCACTAGTTGGTAAAAGTAGTTTAGATACTATATAGACAAAATATTTATGATATTAATCGATAATCAAGGATTCTGGTTCTTAAAATTATCAAAATAGCCAACCAGTGAAGGTACATTTTGTTTTACATTTTTTTGTGAGTTCAATTTTAATTTTTTACTAGATTTGTCGATAATATCTGGCAGACTGATTGATTGTAAACGCTATAACCTATAACTCTACAATTTCTTTTAATTGTGTTCCACTATTTAAAAGAATTAAGGGTTTAATATATCTACAAACATTTTGTAAAATGTTAAAAAAGTATTTTTGCAATGTTAGTAAGATCATAAAATTCTTGTACCAGTTTGCATGAAACTAGTATTTGATTCTCTGAGATCAAAATTACATACATCTCATGACAGTTTTTTGACTACCATAAATTTTAGTATACCAATAAATATGATCAATAAAAATTTAATTTGCTGCTGTGTAATGAATAGGGGCAGTTAAGACTTTGAGAGAATGTTCACTAAATTATTTATTCCATTACGGTTTACAACCTATAAAATGTACAGGCTTTTACCAGAAGTTCATGTATGGAGATTTAACGTTCCTCCAACTGTGATAGAATGTAGTTAGTCAGTTACCGTTATTACCTGTAAAGTTTGTTTATTAACACTATTAGACTTAGAATGTTATGTTTAAATTGTTATTGTCATAAGTTATTTAAAATGTTTCAATAGTTTATGAACAAATTGTGATTCAATAAATGTGTTTTGAGCAAACAAGTTTGTTTTACCAGTTCCATTTAATAAGTTGACCCTAGTTAATTTAGGTTCTTGTACTTTAGGCCTAATTCTCACTAGTCATGAAGAAATTACAATCAAAGAATCAAATAGATTTCTTTTTTTTATTTAACGACACATCATATCAACCAAATATTGTAGATACATAATTTCTTTAATTTGATTAGTATTCTCTCTCTTTTAAACTAACTTGAAGTGTTCACAAGGTTTTTTCCTGTTAAAACATGGGTTCTTTATTAAGTTATAAACCACACCATTCTTTTTTTCAAAGTTTGATAACTCTTGTATTTTATTTTATGTGTTTCCAACTCTTCTGGGCACTGCATTAAAAACTTAGGATTAAAATTAATGTTGATTGCATAATTTGGTCGAAAAGTCTACACAACGAATAATATTTACCTTAGTTGCTAAGCCAGGTTGAAGTTGAAAATAAAAAACAATATGAGTGTCACATTTATTGCACTATTAACAGTGGTGTAAAACAACTAAGTTGTTCAAGTCAACAATTAATTGTAAACGATGTGATAAAATAAGTGGTAATTTACAAGACAAATACTAAACACTAAGGCACTAGACAGGATCGAACACCAAGTTGTGCAAGGGTCAGGAGTCTGCTTTGACAAACACCTTCTCCCGAGAGAACAGAGCAATGGCAGCCTCAATACGGTCGAGGTCTGTCTCTATCTGCTTCTTGCGTGTCCGCGTACGCAGAGTGTCTGTACTGACTGGCAACTGGTTCAGCTGAGACACCAGGTCTGCGTAATCTGAAAAATACTTTTCATGAGACGCTTGCACGGGTGCCAACACAAACACTACAAAAAAGTGTTGTGCTAGCCTAGCTGTTAGCGTTTCGTGGGAGGGACGGGTTCAATTCCCCGCACATCCACAAAACTTTAATGGGCTGAACCGCTTTTGCAAAAAGTTTGGTTTACTTCATTTCAAAATGCCACTTGCGTAGACAAAACGGAATAAAAATAAAGTTATTTTTAAGCCTTTGTTATTGCAGAAGTTCTTATTTTAATCTTTATTATATGTTCTTCTATTTACATTACAATAACTACAAGACCTAGTAGTGTTGAAATAATTTTGTCATGCTACAGCCAAATCTGCTTTTTTCATTAGATTGTATAGATTAATTAAGTTCTTTTTATAATAAAATACAAAAATTGTTGGCTCCAAAAAGAATATATTTTTGGAGAAAATATTCAAAACTAGGGTATACATTGCTAAAAAAAACATATATTTACAAAAATAAAAAACTAAAAAGTCCACATTATATTAACTATTTTTAAATAAAATAGTCAAGCTAATTATGCAGAAAAATTTCAGGTGAACACGACAATCTAAAGTGAATTTTGTCATCGGCCAGGTGACAACTCATGAATATTGAGTGTTCTGATCCAATTAAACTGGTGAATATTCAAACTCAACTCAAGCCTCTGTGAACACAAGTTAGATCTTGTATGGATTTATTTTATGTTTAAACAAGGTAGCTTTTGGTAGAAATCTCTTTTTGTCATGGCAAGTTAACTGTTAAGTGTTTTAATATTGTATACGGGAAAAATTTGAGGTTGATATTTTCTCTTTGTTTTCCGTTTGACAAACAGAGAACTGTCAAAATGAACAAAAACCGCACTGGGTTACGTATGTTTAATACAAGCTCTGCCAGAAAAAGATACAGCAAAATAGTTTTAGATCTTTTAGGACACCTATTTCTGTTGTGCTCAACATGTAAAACTATTTATATTTCTAAACTTCGTTGATAGAGTAAAAAAGATTAACACATTAGTGCTGCAATTGAACGAATTGAGAACTTCTCTTATTAGGAACAGAAAAGTATTACGGTAGCCTCATATCGTATAACCTTAGGTTCCATTAAAAGTGATACATATATCCATAGAGGTATGAGAGCAGCTAGATTTTTGAGCCGAGCCAAGTCTACATGCTCGCGAGATCAAACGCTATTCAGAAAATTGAGCTTTTACTATTGCAATACTGTATGATGTACTGTAGCAATGCAGTACTCGTTTGTAAAGATCACGCAACCGAAAAATTCACTGTTAAGTAAACCTTTCTCTTACTGTAAAAAGTATTTTTCTGGTCATCTTGATATCCGACCTTTTGACCAATCCGACCATGTCCCGATCAGATATAAGAAGTTCTACAGTTAATGCTTAAGACAGGAAAAGTATTGTTTGGTACAGGCAAAGTCAGCGTATAATTTTTGTCAAAGTCAGCAAAGGAAAATCTGCAATCTTAGCTCTAAAGTTGACACACTTTTTCCTAATAAAGAGTGATGCAAAATTTTAGCTCTTAAGTTTCATAATCAAAGTTGTACAGTGTTAGAAGCTTCTACGTTCTACACTCACTCTGTCGCAGAGTAGAGAGATGTTTCTGCTTGATGTCGTCTGGCAGTTGTATGTGACCCTCCGGACATTCGTCCTCCTTAGCCTTGTTTATCCTTTCTTTCTCCATCTCCTTCTTGTGTTCTCGTATATACCTGCAAGTGCAAATGTTGATTGCTGATTGGCAATTGCTAAAACTTAAAAATAAAGGTGTATATTAATTTTTGGGGTACTGGGAAAGAGCTCACCTTGTCACAAAAATCACTTTACACAATAATTATAATGTTTCATTCTAGTTTTGGGTTCAAAAGTCTGAGAGATACAGTAAACACTTTTCCCCAATCAGGTAAGCCTTGTATTATGACAAATCAAAATCGATAATAAACAAAATCAAAGTTTTACAATTAAAAGTTACATCAATAATTTTATTCCATAAATAATAATGAACATTGTTATACAAATATTTCATAATCATAATTTTATAATTCTATTTATAATTTTTTATTTATTCTATCTAGAACTTATCACTCTAACTCAATTATAAATCAACTTAGCAACAAGAGTTAAATTTTTTCCCAGTTAACATTTGAACTAAAACTGGCCTTAGTTGATTATACGTAACCGTGAACATATAAATCAGTTATAAAATTACCCACATTAGATAGTATTTAAACAATGTAGGCTAAGGCATTAAGTGACCTATTTTTGTAAATAATTAATTTTCAACACAACACAGAGTATACAAAGTTTCTTTACAAGCTGTACTTTAAAATTCAAAAGAATTTATTAAAACTTTGTTGGCAACAAACACTGACGGTCAACCACTTAACTGTTGACCCATCATGAATATTACAAACCTTGACATTTCCAGTTTAAAGGGAAGAAAATCTGTGTCATCAGTTTATGTTATCAATAACAATGTTTGTTATCAGTAAAAAGTTCTTTACGTAACAAATGAAGTTATCAGTTTTCTTTGCATTGTTACATCCTTTATTTATTGCAAGTTTCTGGAGAGTTCTCTAAATGACAGTTCTCACTCAAGACCTATGTTTTGTTATTTCTGGATAGCTGGACCTATAGTTTATGACTGTAGTGCACTATCGCCGAATGTAGGCGAACTAAGACGAGCGTGATTGTGTACTCAGTATGCTCGTGTACATTATTTGGGGTAATTCGCATCGCCAACATTTGTGTTCGGGTTGGCTCGCTTTTTTGGCGAACTCCCGTCATGAATTAAAGGAGACAAACTAGGACGAATGCCCAGCGCAGACGGGCACGAATATAGCCAGTACACACTCGCTGTCATTCGTAGTCACTGACACTCTCTTTCTAAAGTATTTACTGCAGAGGTTGTGTGTGTAGCAAAAGTGACTTTTAATTAGTGGTATTTAACTATTTGCTACTAGATCTTATAGATAAATAAAGTATGGAGCCGTGGTATAATTTAATTGTATATACAATTTAAGATCGCTTAAAAAAACAAAAACTTGAATAAAATAATAAGTAAGATATATTTTAAATTATTAAGCCACAGAGAAATGAGAAACAAAAGGATACATTCATGTGGTAACTAGCACCATTAGAAGTACTAGAATTTCCTCTAGAATTGTCTGTGACGTCAGTGTTCATGTTGCACAAAGTTTGGCGCAAATGTTTTGCCACGAATACGCAGTATTGGGTGTTGCATAGTTCGACCGAAGTAAGCCGATAGTGTATTTGGTTAGTTCGGGTTGCACATTTGTCAATATTTGCGGTCGCAATCTGACCAGGCGAATGTTCGGCGATAGTGTACTGGTAGTATTAAGGTTGACTCTCAACCACTCTGTCAAAGCATAATAGCATAGCTAAGGCCAAACTGGTGATTTGCAGGATTCGAACCCAGACCACCAAGACAGAAGTACTGTGCTCAATCATTTTATACTGTTTGAAAAGGGACCTGTCTAAACTTTGGTCTCGTAACTATCTATAACCGACCTATTGTTAGTTAACATCATAAATTGATTGTGCAAATTCTAAGACAAAGAACATCATGTTAAAAAAAGAACTCTCAAATTAGCTCAGTTGAATAAATTATGCCTTGAGACTGAGAACATAATGACTTGTGTTAATTGTAAACCAGATTAATTAAAAGGGCTACAGAAGCCAGTAACAAGCAAAGTTGGTCGAGGCACACTTAATTAACTCTCACGTTGCTGAATTGATTAGACTTAGCAACTTTATTCAACTTGGCTTTAACCTGTCACTAGAACTCGGGGAGGCAAATCTTCAAAGGCATTATAATTTGGTAATAGAACAATGTTACAAGAAGATTCATTCAGATAACATTGGAAAGTTGTGTTTTACTGGTAAATAATAATAAAGGTAATGAATACGAATACTCAGTAGTTTCATGTGCTACTATAAAGTGTACAAAGAACTAGCTTTCCAAAACAAATGTTAAAGGGGAAAACTTGTTTAATTGTTATAAAGAGTTTTGTTGTGTTTGTCAGAATATCCTATCGTTTTTTATAACCAGACCCAAAATCAGGATTGTTTTTCATGACTTCAGGCTAGGCCTAGAGATTGCATCATTAAATAAAGTTCATTGGGTTTAGGCGGAATAAACCGGGACCTCAGGGACCGAAGTCCCACACGTTAACTCTACACCAGGTCACTTCCCAATGTACCAATGAAGGCAGAGCCCTAAGAGGGGCGTTTCTCTTCTGTGTGCTTAATCTATTGCAAAGGAACTAGTTAAGATTTTTGCCGCTTGACATAAATAAATTTAGCCCTCAGAAAGACTCTTATTTTATCAAAAACTTGGTTGTAGGAGAAGTTTTTTTGTTAGTAATCATTTGAAGATTTTTTAGAAAACAAACTGATTTTTCTAACCGAGTATTCACTAATATTACTTTTATTATTTGCTAATTGCACCTACTTGGGCACGACACCGCGCTGGTAGGTGGCAGGGGCCCTTGTTGGGTCGGTATTCGATGATGAGGAGTCCAAGAGTTTGTGTCTACGTGGGTCTAGAACTGTGGCGTTTATCTTGACAAAATCTTTATCTCCATTCTAGAAATCAGGAGATAAACACATATCCATGTTTAAACTGACATTTTATCGGGTAATTTATGCAGTACAGTAGACTCCCTCTTATCCGGACACCTTTTAACCGGACTAGATTGGCAGGAAGTGGGCGGTATTGAATCGACTGTCTAAATTACAATGCTCTCCTAATTTTAAGTCAAATACTGTATAGAGTATGTATGCATTTAAACGGTCCGTTTTAACGAGATTTTGGGGACATTGGTTTAACCGGAAAAACCGTTATCCGGACTGGCCTCGGTCCCGAGGAGACCGGATAAGAGGGAGTCTACTGTAGTAACAACTATTACATGTGTATGTATAGCTATGTCTAATAAGGTACATTTTACAATCCAACATTCGGCTAAACTTCTAAACTTACCACTTTCCCATCCCCTCAGTTTCGTATTACTTAAAATAGTCTTACTGTACAGAGAACATTTCTAAATCACTCGTGAGAACAGTGTTTTCAGTGGTTAACTTGAAGTAAGTTTTACCCTTTCTCATTAACCTTGACAACTAAAGGTAGAAAACTTTCTATCCATCCTTTGTCAAATCTGAATCCTATGATCATGTCCAGTCGAGTAAATTGATATTGACCTTCAATTTAAGAAAATGTTCAGCGTGTTCTTTACTGTTTAGTTAATACATTAGAAGACAGACAATCATTTTTGTTTTTTTTTTCTTTTGGGTAAAACAGTTCAGTTTTAGAAGAAAATTAATAATGAAGATAAATAAATTTTATAATGTCTAGAAACACGGTAAAAAATGATCCAGATTCCAAAAAAACAGAGCTTTGCTTAATCTAGACAGCCATTTGACAGCAGTTCGCAAAAATTTCATAAAGCTTAACTAAAAAAGTGACTCTATAACTAAACTGTCTTCTTGCGAACATTCATCATTGTTCATCGAGTGCAGCGATGCTGGCAGGCAGAAAGCTAGGCTTCCATTCCGTTTCAAAAATATTCATTAAAAATGCACAATCTATGGCAAACATTACACACATCAACTGTACATATATTTTAGCACACAACTAATGCCTGCATTTAAACATCTAGGATAAACAATTTAAGTACAATTTAAAATTCATCTCACAGGTTTCCAGGTCCCGGAACGGCCCCGCCTTTCTTCATATTAAATTTATTATATTGATTCCGAACTTCTGAAAGACTTTGAACCCAAATTAGTATGGATTGATGAGGGTTTGTACCTTAACATAGTCTTCATCTGATCCATAAGTAGGACTAAATGTTTTATCTACTGTCATACCTTCTTCTCCTCGTCCCAGTGCAGGCCGTCCTCCAGAGGTGGGGGAGGGTGAAGCACCTCTACTGACTCTACCCTCTCTGTATCACTCCCCTCCTCCTCCTCCCCCCTCACACTGGGGTAGCAGACAACTCCTTCCTCATACAAGTTCTCCAGCTGCTTGCTGTTCAGCGTCTGACATCCTGTGAAGCACAATTGGAATTCCAAATCTCAGAATAGAGTAGAATCTCCACAAACTAACATTCTCTGTTTCCCAATATGTAGATATGCATGACAATGAATTTTTCAGGTGACAATATTTGAGGTCATTTTACTTTATCCTAAATGATGTGATTAGATTATACTTCTGAATAAATAATAACCCAAAACCCCTAATATGAGGGAGGATACTCCTGGATGTATCAGGCAACTTTTGTAAAAAATGGTTTTAGGCTTATTTCCCCATAGTCTGCTATATTTCACTTTGAAGCTAATTAATGTTTTTCATTACTCTACAAACGAAAGTACACTTTCTAAACATAAAATGAGCTAAGAAAATAGGTTATTCCCGCTACTGCACGGCAAAATTACATAACGTTAACTTTCTCTTTCTGTGCAAACGTCAATCAATATAATTAATAAAAAAATACAATAAATAAGATACTATAAAAGCGCTGTAGAAACTAAGGTTGGAAATTGCATATTTTATTTATAAAATCGATATACATACTATGTAAAAACAGTAAATAAATTAACTCCTATCTAAAAAGTAATAACAGTAATAATTTAATAAGCAATGACTGAAAACAAACTAAACCCCTGGGGAAGAAAATTTTGTAATCAATTCAACTCCAACGGTATTTAGTGAACTCATCCACCTCGTAGAACACAAGATTCATCAACTCTCTTCAGTATTGTTTTTGATTTATAGATCACTTAAGAATCACAAACCCTACACAGGTAACTGACCTTGACTCCGGTATCCCTTGGTGCTCTGTGGCTCCTCCTGGATTGCTGGCCGTGTGTCTAGAGTGACATGTCTGTTACGACGACTGCCCCGAGGTGGCGACTGACTGACAGAATGTCTCTGTGATAGACGAGAACTGCTCACCATCGTCTGGGCGTTCCTCCTCTCTGTCAACGGCTGAAGGACAGTTACATTTTACAAAAATCTGCCAGTTAAGAAAAATATTACATTTCTAACATGATAACTTAAAGAAAATAAAGTATAGTCATGCTATTCCAAACTATTTGAGACAGAATAATTATCAGAATAGCAAGAATGCAGAGGTTCGGTTATCTCATACCCCAGCCATTAACATGCCAAAATGCCATATATTGATTTTACAAAACATACACATTGTTATTTGCTTGGATGATCATTTTTAGAAAAGATTTCTACGAAGAAACAGATTGCAAATTTTAAGACGCATGTTAGCGAAGCATGAGTGTGGAATAAACAAGATGATAGCTTTATCCTGGGTAAGATCAGCTGATTCTTTAGTCAGGACATTATTAAACGCCCAATGATCAAGGACAACAGGGCTCAGTTCAAAAAAACCAAAACGTGTCTGACTTTTCTAAGGGTCAAACTGACTTTCTGATCACTAGGTGAGAACTATGTACACTCAGCTATTGTTCTGTATATATATGGAGATACAAGCGCCAAAGAAAACCCACAGGTTTATCTTGGTACTTTTTGCAAACAAATATGAACGTTAACACAGTTTTCTACCACAAGCCATGTTTTGGTAAACTCTACAAAGGTATCAGTAGGCAATTGGCAGTTTGTTCTTGCTGCGAATGGACCTGTTTTCTTAATTACAAATTCTGGAAGGAGGTTAAAATATGCAGGCAGATCCTTTATAGGGTTTTTTCTTCATTCTTAAAAACATTGTTTCTTCAAGGGGTTTCAGTTCTTTGTTACAATGGATCCACTGATTTGATATATTTCTTAATGATTTTCCTTTTGTGTTTTGTGTACAATGTGGATTTTGCATGAGTGAGATTAAATCCAAACTTAGTTCAATTTTAAGAAAACATGTTTTTTTATGAACAACTGTAGACTTACAATATCATTAGAAAACCCCCTTATTTTCTTTACTTGTCCAAATTCAGTATTTTGTAAAAAACATTTTCTATTCAGTTGTATTAGAGATTAGAGAGACACTAAATTTTGATGTTTTACTATCATATTTCCAGAGCTAAATACTTTAAAACCATAATTAGTTATTAGTGGCTTGTAGGGACAGAAGTCCATAAAAAGCTCAAATTTATAACACATTATTGTAATATTTAAACAAACTAAGAACTAAATGATCTGTGTCAGGATAGATGTCCCTGTACACCATATGTTTTGTGTGAAAAATACAGTCACTTTGTTTCCTTTGGTTTCACATAACATTCTACCCCTAATATACTACTTGTAACTAGTATTGTGACACTTAAAAAAGGGAAAATCAATATTTGGAATTTATTATTCCTGTTGAGTCTTGGGGAAGACATTCTGATAGGGAAGATAGATGTAAAAGAGTGGCAAGATTGATGATTTAAGGGAGAAAGGAAAAGATTGATATGAAGTCTATAAACACATGAGCATCATAAATATTTAGAACTTATTTACAGAAAATCAATAAAATTAGGCCTAGAAAGTTGAAATAAAATGTCTATACACTATAACAGCGGTCGGTATATAAATTTATCAATTATTTAAAATTATATGCCAGTTGTTTAACATTAACAATTTAAATAATACAGAAGGCTTACTTAGACTTAACATAAACATTTAAAACAAAAGAATCTGTTGACACTAAAGGGACAGAAATTATGACCATGTTCAATTATATAAATTTATTGAGTAGTTATTCTTAGTAAATCAAATATTTGGAAATGACAAAAATGAAATTATTTTCAGAAATGTTAACCAAAAAAATTAATTAACTAGAATACATTAAAAATATAGTTAATCAATTTATAAACAGTAATAAAAAAGCCAAATGAATCAAAAACACCAAAATGAAAAAATCCAATAAATCAGATGAGTACCAAAGCCTAGAGCTTGAAGATATTGGCCGCAAAGAAACACAATATCTGTGCAACATTGTTAAAACGCAATATTGAACACAAAATACAATCTCGCTGAGTTGATATCACTTCTCTCAGCGGGAGAGAACTGTTACTGTAAATAGCATAAAATTAAATCAAACTTTACTTGCCACAAAAATGTCTGTATAGACCCCTGTAATGGCTCAGCAAATCCTACATAATAAGCAAATATCCATTTGAGTTATAGGATTGCCTCTAAAATGTGCATTTACATCCTGTTTAGACAACCTTAGGTTTAACAAGTACTTAGGCTTGCTCACAGGAAAGTGTGTTTTTAGTGAAATTTTATTAGTTAAGTATTGCCAAATTTGTTCAAAATATATCCATAAGTAAGCAAACTACAACTTACAGTAAATCTCCATATAAATATAAAAGAAATAGATTCACAGTTTTTTTTTTTAATTTTCTCCATAAACATGAAGTTGATAAACAAAGTTATATGTTTTTTAAGCTAAACAAAATGGTTCCAAAAGAAATTGCTAAATTTTATATTTTGAGGGTCAAAAATTTATACATTTTGTGTGAAAAATCTACTTTAACCTATAAAACCCCCCATAAAACTCAGTTCTCATAGTTTGATGATTGGTTTGTGAATTTGTTGGAATAAACGCAGGTTTACACATTTTACTTTTTTTTTTCAAAATTAATTATTAAATAATTTTTACTCAAGTTATTGTGCCAATTTACACACATATAAATAAATAAACATATTATATACAGTCTACAGAAAATATTATTGGATGGTGTTTTTGCGCCTCTGGGCACATCAAAGCAGAAAAAATATCGTTCTCAGGTCTAGGTCTTACCACGAGACCTACAGTAATAGCTTACTATGGGATATCGCTAAAAACAGGTGACATTATTAAAGAATTGTAAAAAACTACATTGTTGGTAAATATTAGGTTCTGATATTTAAAATTAGATAGTGACTCTGATTTAAAAAGTAGTTGACGATAAATATCCATTAATAGAGTAGCAGTTCTTTCTGACACAAGTTTTGAAAAATAGTTTCAAATGTCATATTGGATACTACTACTGACACTTGATACTTTAGGATTGGTTTCGAGTTTACATGACAAGTATTGCTTGTGTCACTTGGATGATTACAAACCCTAACCTACACATATATTTTTCAGCCAAAAGTTTTAAGAAAATATTTCAGTAAAATAATATGATTAATATTGCAATATTGGATACAATTTTTAAGACCTTTGTATGCAATACGGTATGCTGTTTTAATTTGGTTTAGATGAAAGCCTAATTTTTTCCTCGTGTTATTAAAGAACCTCTTCAGAACTATAAAAAAGTTTCAAGACCATGGTTTGGAAAAAAACTTAGCCTAAGAAACCAAAATAAAATCAAGATTAGATATTTTTCATAGAGAAATTAATAAAATATGTTTCCATATTTTCTTAGCCCTTTTTCTTAATACCTTTAAGATATTTACAAATTTGTTAAAAATCCTAAACACATTGAATAATGCCAATATAGTCATCATATTTAATTACTGCTTTTAAAAAATATACAGTAATTCATTAAATTTGTTTCTCATTGTGAACAAAATAATAATTCCTACAAATAAAGTTAGTAATTTTTTAAAACAAAAATAAATAATAAAATGAATTAAATAAAACACTACAGACAATTTGAATTAGGCCTAAAGAAAAAGGTTTAACCCAATTAGAATTGGGATTTTCATGCCACAATAACTCCTTGAAACAATTAAAGAAGAACAATGGCAAAGAAAAGAATGAGTAATCATAATCAATTATTAATTTTAAAGTCAGCGGGCAATTTGCAAATCTGAAATTTCTAAACTTTATAGCAATAACGGCTTGAACTGCTTCTAAAAAAAAAAAAAAAAACAAATGGCAAAATAAATACCGTAGGTACGGTACTAAGACCTTAACAGTATAAAATTTAAAAAAAATCTGGATTTATTAAATATGACTTATCATCACTTATGATATATTTTTAGACAACAATTTTATTTTCAATCCCAATGAGTAATGCATACCTAGTTTATTATTCTATAAGATTCGCCTATTGGGCCTGATGATGATTGGAGTGTCCAATCCAAATTGATCACCACTTACCACCTTTTATATATCATATTTACCGTCTTGTGAACCAACAGTATAAGTGTAAATAAATATTACAAGTGTTAAATTAGACGTATATCTTTCTGTTTTTTTTTTCAGTTTATTCTGCTATGTTACAAAAAGACTAAAATTATAGGGTTTATCAAATTAAAAAAATTAGCTTTAAAATTGCATTCATAGACTAATTTACTGAAAGTACTGTAGAAATCATCTGCTATGAAACGAAAAGACTAAATTTGAAGGATTTATCAAATTAAAATTTAGCTTTAAAATTTTGTACATAGACTAATTTATTAGGTACTTATTGCAAATATCCAAAATAAGTCTACCTTGATAACAAATCTTATTTGATCCCTTTGAGATATTTGCTATCAAGGGGTTTCTACAATATTTTGAAATATATTCAATTTTTTTTTTAACACATGAAATAGTCATATGTTCAAGGAGAAAATACACTTTTGGCATGCTAACAATTTGAAGAACCAAGTTTTACAGCAAACAAGAAATAGTGGCTGGGAGAGTGAAAATGATAGAGAACACAATCTTGTGGTAAGCTTGTGGATCAGCTGTTGACAGCACAATCTCCCGGGTGTATTGTGTGTGTGTGTATAGTGTATTAGTGTGTACAACACAGCAAGTGTGGGAATCAGTTTGATCTCCTTAAAGCGAATAGAGCACATCTATCGTATATATTTAAAAACACATACAGTACATACATTCATGCACATTACAAACAAGTTCAACTAAAGGGTGTTTACATTCCTATCAGTTTTGTGTTTTGCAATGTGTGCATGGATTTTTATATGGGGTTTAATAACCTAACTTGAATTATAACCTAATGATGGAAGTTGACCTTCCAAAACATCGCGCCCAGTCCTGTAAACATTCTAAAAGTTCTTATCAGAATCGGCTTTAATGTCTAATTATGAATAAATATAAAAATGTTAGGTCTATTTAAATATAAAACAAAATCAATCCTATTATTTTAGTTGTAATAATCACACATTTGTCATGTTTAGTTATCCTCATGAGGAACATAAAGCAACATTTGGTTTGGTAATGAAAACCCCAGAGTGTAATTCACAGAATGTGATTAAATGTTTCTCGCTAATTAAGGTATATAATAAATGCAGATTGTGTTGACAAATACAACGGATTCTGCTTATAAATTTTGAAAAGGGCATGACTTGTTTAATAATTTTTTTTGCCTTTAGTTTTGGTTCTTTTCTACAACACAAATTAGACAAGATGCAGTGACAGGATCTGAACCCACGACATCGCTGTCTTGGGCCCGAAGTCCGCAACGCTACCAACTGAGCCACAGAGTCACCTAAATTTATTATCTTAATAGGCTAATACAATTAATTCTAAGATAAAAAGAGTCTACAAGACATTACCAAAAAGGTTCACCTTTGGTCCTATAAATCAGTTTAAATATCACACACTTGAAAATTCAAAAACAACGATAGGATTGATTTGTAGCCTACCTTACTAACAACGGTAAGTTAATTTCTCGTGGGGAAATTTTACCAAAGCAGAAGGACGGTTTTACTACTTGGTTTCTTTAAAAAGTAATAATATATTGCAATAGAATCCCCACTAACATAATTTGAAAAACTGAAAAACTGGTATATTTGATAAAAGTATTAGAAAAAAACTAACACTGACAAAAATACTATTCCAGCAAGTTTTTCAATTTCCAAAAAATACACATACGATGCAAAACTTAGTCTTTGAAATGAGAATCAGACGATTGAAAACCCACAAACGGAAATGTCTAGCACACTGGGTGAAACGCGGAGCATAAAATTGGAAAAGTTTGACACTCTGATAAGCACATATCGCGTTGAGTTATTTGCTGTAAAGTTGTAACGAGTCTGAGTCTTGAGTTAAATGCGGAGGAATCTTCTACACTTATCAGACATTGTATTCTGCCTACCTGAAGAGTACTGCTCCTCTGGGAGCTCAGCTTGTTTGTTTTCTCCAATTTCAATTCTTTCAGCCTCTTAACATTTTCCTGTATAAAGTTCTTTCTCGGTTTCGGGATATCACCTGCCAAATAATAGAATTACAACAATCACAAATTTACTGGTTCATTACCGTGTTGTTTGTTTTCAACTTCACTGTTTTAAATTTTTTTGCAAAAAGTGAAAATCTTGAATCAATTTGTATTAATTTTTATTAAACAATAATTATCTGTAGCCACTTCAAGAAAATAAATATACACGTTAATTTTGTTGTTTTCAAATTGTTAGCTACAATAGGTAAAGGTTGAATAGAAAGATGTTGATGACAAATTAAACAAATATTTTTAAAACTATACTGACCAACAACTATACCAAAGTTTTTTTAAATGACCAGGTTATTGCCTGGTCATTTAAAAAAACAGTCAACCTTATATTAAATCAATCTGAAATATTAAGATTGAAATAATTACACGACTAATACCATTAGTAAAATGAGCTTACCTTGTCCTAAAAGTTCTTTTATTGTTGACATATTAGAGTGGTTGTTTTTCATAAAAATCCCAGCAAAAAACCCCTGAAAAAAACATTAAAGTTATCTTTTGGGTTTTTATCAAAGTGGTAAAATGTTAACCTTAAGTTACTTTAAAAATGAATAAAATGATTTGTGTCTAGTTTTTAAAACACAAATATGGATAGGAATAGGGTCTATAAGATACAATTTGAAGAAAAAAATACAAATTAGACTCAAATAAACATTTCAATTTACAATATTTTGTAATAGGCCTACAGATTGATTATTTGATAACTTGGACAACAGACAACAGTTATCCTAAAGCTTAAGAAACAAGGAGACAATTCAATGATTAAATTAAAATAACGTGTTTGCAAACTTTGTGTGCTGGTAATCAACTGTATCATGCTATCTGCTTTTATTATAACCCATGTAAAAATATATATATAATGTAGGATGATATATTTTAATGATAGTAACGCCATTTTAGGACAAAATAGTTGTAAATTTACATTTTAGAAAAAAATTTCTAACCGGTTCTATAAAACTCTCTTACTATCATTGATTTAATAACATGGAAAAGTAAAATTCTTACAGATATTCCTGGGTTAGCCATTTTAGCAAATGCGAAAATTTGTCTGCAAACTGCGAGAATGAATGGAGCCGCGGAAATGTTAAACGAAGCAAGCAAAGCCTGGTACAATACGGGTAGCGCTGCCACCGCCTTGCTCCTTTGTATGACAAGACACCAACATTCATCATACCATGTAGCTGATAAGGGGTGTAAAAGCATCCTTTGTCCATGCAAAGTGAAGATGTGTGAAAACACATTACATCGAACAAATTGAACGCTTTCATGGAATAATATTATGGAGAGAAATAATTTTTTGTTAGTATTTGATTATTAATAGTTAGTTGTAAAATAATTTGCTAAAAGAGCATCAATAATTAATTTTGTTAATCTCGCATCAATGCAATACAGTTAAGACTAGCAAAAAACGTCATGAGAAAGTGTTTTTAGCGAATTTCCCTATAGGGAAGTAGCTACAGTATTAACGTAGGTCTCATGGTAAGACTTAGGCCCGGGACCGATTTACTTTTTCATTTTGGTGTCCCCAGAGGCAAAAAACACCATTCGTTCAAATTTTTATATATGTATATATATATATATAGATTTATATATATATATATATATATGTGTCCGTGAACACGATAACTTGAGTAATTTTTATCCGATTTTGATGAAATTTGGTTTGAAGGTGTAAGGTGGGATAAACTTGAATGAGTTCGCGATCCAGCATGATCGGACCACGGGAACAGGGTTTTATGGGGAGTTTTATGGGGTAAAAATTGGTTTTTCTCATTTTTGACCCTCAAAACACAAAATGTCCCAATTTTTCTCTAAACCTTCTTAAAGAGCTTAAAAAAACAAACAATTCAGTATATCAAAGTGTTTTTGTACGGTTATTGGTTACGGAGAAAACTAAAAAAATTGTAAATTTAAAATTCCCATGTTATTCTTATGGAGAATATTGTAAAATGTTGTAGTTTGCTTGTTTATGGATATATTTTGATCAAACTTGGCAAATTTATTTATTTTATAGTAAGCTATCAATATTTTACTAAAAACACACTTTATTAGTTTTCTTGTAGCAGCAAACCTAGGTACTCGTTAAACCTAATGTTATTTAAATAGATCAATTGAAAATCAATTCAGCCAAATGGAAATTCGCTTAGACGGCAGGTTTGCTGCGGCGGGGGTATTTTCTATTTGTTGTTAAAAATATTTTCAACTAAACTTAACTTACATGATATATTTCCCAAAGAATTTCAGTATGATTGACATTGCCAAGCAAGATGCATCTATTTTAGTATTCTTTTTACCGGTACTTTAACATGTCAGCTAGGTGATATTGTACAGGGTGGCGCAAAAAGGATGGTCGGTTTTAAAATAATAACACAAATGATTTTACGCATAAAATTTACTGACATACGTTTTTGGACACTTTCAAACTCCCTATTACAAAAAATAACCTTGTAACTTACAAATTTGCTAGTAGGCTATGTCGATAAAACCATAAGAAAATTTAAAAAAATATATAAATAGAACGTAGCGGACTTTGAAGTACTGACGTTCATACGGTCTCCATGTTTTGTGGGGTAACTGCCGTCCAGTAGATTTACCACGACGGACCCTGTTGTCCGAGATGCAGTCACCCAACGTGATATGATCTGCGAACAGGGACCAGTTCCATACGGGCTACGCCAAAATGTTGTCGAAACAGCCGTTACGAAGAAATAAAAGATTCACTGATTCTGGAAAAAAATAAAAAAACTGTTCCACAGCTATAATGCAGTGTTCGACCGTCCACTGCACCATATCACTGTAAATTGGGTACCATGGTCGACTTACAGAAGGCCAGTAGTGGACCCGAACCTCCCCCAACTACTAATACTACGCAGTTCAAATCCGACCATCCTTTTTGCGCCACCCAGTAGTTCTCCTTTTTGTTAAATATAGGCTATTCTAATAACTGTAATGTTTGCACTTTAAAAGTATTATTGTAAAAATGGTGATTAATGTAATTATGTACCGGTAGTTGTGTTTTGTGTTTAATGGATAAATAATGGTTTCCTTATATTTTAGAATTCATTGTAGTAGCCCCGAAACTGTAATAATGACCTATATTAGTCTTAGGCCTATATTTGATTTCATTTACAATCTTTTCAACAAAATAGAACAATAAGCAAATATGATACAGTTGAAATGTTACAGTTAGTTAATCACCACCCGTCTGAACACTACCACGGTCCTCCAGAACTATCTTTCCTACTGTCTACAATGGCATATCTCTCTCAACGCTGTAAAAACCCAACTTTGTTTCTTTGATTTCAACTCAAGCTGATTCCGCAGAACAATATCCGAACCCATCCATTTCAACAACGTCCGACTCACCCTCAAGAAGTCCTGTATCTACCTTGGAGTCAAGCTCGATTCAAAACTTTCCTTTGGTCCCCACCTCCGAAATGTTACAAAACGAGCCACCACCCGACTCCATGTTCTGAACAACTGTTGCAGTCCTTGCTCCACCTTGATTCTCGCACGCCTATACTCCTCCGTCATACGCCCATCTTTATACCTTTATACCATACATCCATCGCTGACCAGTAATGACTGGATAGATTTCGTCAAAAAAAGTTTAAAGTGTTAATACTTTAGAACTGGTTAACATGGCAGTAGGTCATGAGATCCATTCATCACTTTCCTCAACAAAATATTCACTAATGGAATAGAGAGGCCGTGACTTTAGTAGTTCTTCGACTTTCTTTTTAAAATTCCTGAGAGGGAGTGACTTTATGTTCTTGTCCAGATGGTTGTAGAGCCTAATGCCAAGGACAGGATAGCAGTCTTTTTGCTTGCTCAGCCTGCAGAAAGGAATGTTTAAAATTTCTCCTCTTCTCGTGTTGTAATCATGAAGTTGGTTTCTGCAGCTGAGGTTGCCTATGTTTTCCTTAACATGCACCAGACAGTTGTAAATAAATTGACTGTAAACAGTCATCACTCCTAAGTCACGGAACAGTGGTTTGCAATGTTCATGCCTTGCGCTGGATGTTATGGCTCTTATAGCAGCCTTTTGAGTTTTCAGAATGGTTCTTGTTTCCGAAGCGTGCCCCCAGACAATGACACCGTAGCTCATTAGGCTGTGGAAGAGGCCATAATAGGCTAATTTTAAGTAGGTATCAGTGACCAAGTTTTTTAGCTTCCTTAGAAGGAAAACTGTTCTGGAAAGTCTGGCATCTAACTCGCCTATGTGTTTATCCCAAGTCAACTTGCCATCCAGCCAAAAACCAAGCAGTTTCACAGGTTGTTGTTGTGGATTCTGATATTTAAGACTGCATATCAGTTCCTGGGCCTTGTCATTGTTTATTTTTAGCTTGTTATTAGAGAACCAAGCTTTAGCTCCGTCAAGGATTTCAAGGGTTCCACTTTCAGTTGGTCCAAGTCACTACTACTTGTGATGAGGGTAGTGTCATCGGCGAAGAACAAAGTTCTTCCCTCAGTCCCCAGGTCATTAATATAAATGAGGAAGAGCACAGGTCCAAGAATAGATCCCTGTGGGACCCCTAGGCTGACGTTCAGGTCACTGGAAAGAGCTCCCCTTATGGATACCACCTGCTTTCTGCCCCTTAGGTAGTTTTGAAAGGTCTCGACGTTTTTTATTCCATATCTTTCCATTTTTCTCAACAAGACGTCATGTGCTATACAGTCAAACGCCTTGCTGAGGTCGCATAGGGTTAAGTTTGTCATGAGTTTGTTGTCGAAGGCATCATTTATCTTTGTTATTAGATTTAACAAAGCGGTGGTCGTAGACCTACCCTTTCGGAACCCATGCTGGTCATCGGTCAAAAGATTTGAGCGCTCAAAAAAGTCAACAAGTTGTTCCTTGATGATACACTCCATGATCTTTGCGTGCATTGGTATCAAAGAGATAGGTCTATAGTTCGAAAGTTCTTTTGGGTCACCCTTCTTAAATACCGGGACTGTGCGGCTTATCTTTAGAGAGTTCGGAAAAGATCCGTCTCCAAGACATAGATTTATTACAGCAGCTAGAGGTTTTGACATACAATGAATGGTGTTCTTCAAAACATTCACATTTATCCCGTATATATGTCAGGGCTGTTGGAGTTTGAAAAGTTCTTGACAATGGATTCGATTTGAGTAGGTGTTACAAGTTTCCAGTTTTCTAAAGTATTCAGCGGGTTGAAAGGGACATTGTCAGCTGGATCTGTGTTGGAATCGGTGAAATTTGAAGCAATGTCAGTGACGCTATCAATAAAAAAGGTATTGAAGTTATCAGGGCTATTGTCATATTTGAAACTTGTTCTTGTTTTCCTGCTAGAGTTTATTAGGTCCCATGCAGCTTTGTTTGGGTTATGGGATTGAGTAATGTAGTTTGAATTTGATGTACCTTTTTAGCCTAGTTTACACTATTTCTGTAGGTTTTTTTTTGTGCTGAGATACATATGATAATAATGTTATCAGTAAGATCAGTAGTAGATTTGTAGATATCACTAGCTGTAACCCGCGGGCTTTGCCCCGTTTAACTTCTTAATTTTCAAGATGATCTCGTTCGCATGGCTCAATCACGTCCTGGTTGAAGTTCGTTCGCTACGCTCACTCACCTTTAGGTTGGAGCTCGTTCGCTACGCTCACTCACCTTTAGGTTGGAGCTCGTTCGCTGCGCTCACTTGCCTTCAGGTTAGTTCGTTCGCTACGCTGACTCGCCTCCAGGTTGAAGTTCGTTCACTACGCTCACTCACCTTTTGGTTGCAAATTCAGCTGTTGTCATAAATGTAAAAGAAATAATAGTGCTGCACCCTGTTGGTAATCCTTGTAACTTTAATGCTATTGAACATCATAGAACAGAACCAACTTGTTTTATTGAAACAGCTGTTAAGATTTATTAATTCCATTTCTCATAAGGTTAACATGGGAAACTCCAGAGCCACTGGGGCGGAGCCGATTGGACGGATCACGAAATTGATGGTGTATAAACCTATTCCATGAAATTCTACACGTATGTACCAAGTTTCGTGGCAATCGGTTCAGCGGTGTCTGAGTTTATCACTGCCAAACAAAAATATATATATATACAAACATCCTCTTTTATACTTATAGATTAAGGAGTAAAACTCTATTTCTTAGGTTGGCCAGGTCAGTTGTGAACCAGTCTTTGTTTGCTCTAGTTTTAGGTATTTGTTTGTCGTTATTGTTTGTCGTATTTGTTATCGTTGTTGCACATCCCCTCCTATTGACAGCAAACGCCTAACTTAATGTCTGGAAGATACTGAGAGGTGTCTTTTAAGGACAGTTTCCCACCTCCCCCATGAACCAGAAACCAGGACTTCTACAGCACCCACTCCATTCCACCCTTCAGAGATTTTCACCTCAACCGTGCCCACTCTTTCGAGATGGTTCAGCAGTTCTTCCAACCCTACTTCACCGATGGAGCAAGTCTCACCAATCTACCTAACAACCAACCACCCAATCCACCACAACAACCCGCCCAACCATGTCAACTGCCATAAACCCTCCATAGCCTATATCCAACTACCCACAACCTCCCACATCTAGCCTCACCGACAACTGGGACAGGTATAGTTCCGTCGTAGACCACTGCTTATACCCAACCCAAAATGTTCAAATAGTTTTTGTGCATTAAAAGAGTGTATATTTTGGTAAGAAGTCAAATGTAATGTGTACAGTCTACATGTATTTTGCCACTCTGTATTTTGTAAGTTTAGAATGGTACGAATAGAAAGTTAATAAATCCAGTTACCCACCTTCCCCCACTCATGATTAATAAATAAACTCACAACACTCAACCTTACCACAACAACCATACAAACAGCATACAACCAAACAGCATACATTTAAACCAGCGATTCATTCTGAGCCTGTGTAGGTATGAAATTCACAAGATGTGACTTTTGTATTCAATAATGTCAGTTTGGCCATTTTACCAAAAATATAGCAATTTGTTTGTGAGCCGCAAGTTTAAATGAAGCCGTACAGAGTTTTTTGTTTTAGTCTCAGTATTTTCTGAATAGCCTACAGGAGAATTCTGATGCTCGAACAAGATGGCAAATAAAATAGGCACCTATTAGTTTAGAGTAGGCTAATTAAGAAGTCACTGTGATTCCCATAATGAGTAAAAGTCTTTGATAAACTTATTCCACTCTATCGCATCAAAAACAACTTTGTACCAAAAACTATCAAAACTTTAAATTGTAGTTAAAACTTCCTAGGCCCTATGACTTCCCTACTTTTGATAATCATGTCTTTATAAAGTTTAAGTATTCATAGAGTCGGTAATAATTGATCTAGGCCTATAGGCTAGGCTATTTAAACAAGAACTGCCTAGCCCTAACCTAACCGTCCTAACCACATCATTAAAATCAATAGGCAATTAACTCTTAACATAAAACTAATATGAATTAAGCTATTACTAGGTGAACCCGTGCGAATTCGCACGAATAATAAATTAGGATATTATAGCAACGTCGATAGAAGTTACGTCGTTGTATTGACGTTGGTCTTAAGCTCGATCGTTGGCTATATGCATTCTAAGTTCTTTTGCTGTTCATTAGGAATATTTTGCAGGACGGAACCAATCATGCTGAAAACTTGCGTGTATGGATTAAAATAAACCAAATGTTGAGTCAAAATGTGCATGAGTTCAGTGCTGCAAGAACCATTAGCTTTGTTTAGCATTATTCCTTGAACAGCGGTTTTGACGTCCGTAGATATAAATTTGGGCATATGTGGGATGCTCCCCTTCTGACGGTTAAAAGGTGTCAATTGAGTGATAAAATGTGCACCTTATGAAAGGCCCTCCACCGTTATGTTCTTCAATTTTAGCTCGAGTGCTGACCATTGCGAGCAGAGAGTTGTACGATCTAATGTTCTCTTTGTAGTTTCTGCTCAAATGATTTGCTCCATTAAGTAGGCTCTGGATATAATAGATTTCTTGGTTAGTGGTAGATTCACTTTTCTTTTATGGCAGCAGAATAAAATCCTTCACCTCGTCCTCTTCTTTAAAATGTAGCGCACCACATTTCTGACATTTTAATGTCATCTCGCCAAGTGAATGCTGCTGAATTCTTGTATTTTGTCAGTGTAATTTTGTAAGTTCACGTTGCCACTAACTGTTCCAGCTCCTCGTCTGGGCTCCTTACGTTTTGCATTGCTTGCCCTATGTTGACTCACCGTGTCCGACCGGCAATATTTCTTTGTTGTCGGGTCCTTGACATGTTTCAACGAAAATATAATGTAAAACTTTTCTCCCGTCGTGTCCTATAGGTAACATTTCTTCGCCGGGTTTCTAATTATTTTTAAAAACATGCAAACTGTTTATAATTTCAAAACAGCTGGGATTTAATTTTTGTTTAAACTAATGTAGGGTATTGACATCTGTTTCAGAATATAATAACATTCAAATCAATCACAATGTTATCCTTATGGAAGGAACTTTGAGGGCAGCCCACGCCCTTAAAAAGACACATTTCGAAAATCTAAAGCCAGTTTGCACATCTACACACCTAGACGAACATTTTGGTAGGTAATATGTGGGGTTAAATCTTAAAACAAAAAAGCCTTATTGTTCACAAAGTTTCATGTCGCGTATTAAATATATAGATTTTTAATAAAGTCAAATCAAATTGATAACTAACTGTACAATCCTAAATGCCACCTACATCAAATTAGGCTCAACCAGAATCAATTACTTTTAAGACTTAAGTAAACTAAGATGATTGCTAGTACCATACTAAGTTAGGTACACAGCTAAAATAAATATAGTGTTCACAATGTAATTGACTTAAGTTAGGCCTACATGCAACATAATTCCTCCTGATTCATGAGATCCATGCTAGGGCCTAGTATCAACACTGGCGGTCATTTTAAGTCTAGGCTTAAGGACTTTAACTTAAACTATTTGTCAAAGATTCTTCTCTGGAAAGTGAACACATGGGACAGCATTCTAATTAATTGGCTCGAGGTTTTTAAGGCCTCAGGTAATATAGGCTATTGGGGCTTCTAAACGATAGTTAAGAAAAATTTATAAAATCCAAATCAAAAGATTAGCAGGAATAATGTAGATAATGCATGCATAACAAAGTGTAAAAGCATAAGTTATGTACTTGGTGATTTTAGCCAACTAAAGTTGTACAAATCTGAGAATGAATAGGTTTTTTTGTTACCAGATTGCTACAGCGAAAATGCATAGTTTACCTGTGTTAAACGGGTGAGCTAAACAACACTGAAATTTCTTTGAACATTAATTTTGGTAACTTAGACTGCTTAGACTATGATAACTTCGGAATAATTTTGAATCTTATGAAGCAGCCGATGTAAACAAAACAAACTGACAAAACGTAAATACGTCACTAGCTTGTTCTTCTTGTGCTTACTCCAGAATGACCAACTACGAAATGTTTCACCATTGTAAATTGAACAGACCGCATACCTAAATAAAACAATGTAACCAGTGTAATCTCTTAATGTTTTAATACTACTCACCGACTGTATTTTTTAACCAATTGTTTTTAAATAATATTTTAGACTTAATTCATTATGAAATATAGTGTTTGAAAAGACTTTACAAAATTTTAGACGCATACATTTCATCACAGATTTTGAACGGTAGATACAGTACCTATGAAAAGTTCATGTATTTTGTTAACATTTGAACTAAGACTTTTAAATACGTTGACTAGCATTTCGGAGCCATCCCATTGCACCTCATAGAAACTTAAAAATACACCCTTTTTAGAACAGGAAGCGAAAAGGGACCTCTTGTCGGTGATGCAAAATCTAATTCTGACTAGTACGGCCGATATAAGTAATTAAGGTCGAAAATATCGAAATACGGGTTTTTATCGATTGTTGTACCTCATTTATCATAGAACAAGACAGTATCGAATTGAAGACGTAAAAGGTTGAAATAAATCATTTTGTTAGCCTCTGCACGGTCTGAGAAAAGAGGTACCTCTTGTCGCTCAATGTTATTTCGCCATAACGACAAGTGGTCCCATTTCTAATATTCACTTTATAAACTGACTTTAGTCCAAAACACAAATTGTCCTGCATTCTAGACGAAATTTAGGGAGCCACAACACAACAAAGTTACGGAGAACAATCTCACAAATTTTGCGGTCCCAACAAGAGGTACCTTTTCTTATCTTAAGGAGGAATAACATAGGACCGACGAGAGGTCCGTTTTCTGAAATGCGAATTTTACGACATGCTTAAATGAAACAATTATTTAAATCAAAACTACCGGGAGTTAAGACAAAAATTGGTTTTGCCTCCAAAGAGGACATTATAAGCTTTCTTTTGATAGCAAAATCGTTTCTTAAATAAAAAAAAACTGTTTTTATGCGTATTTGAAATTTTCAAATTAATGGTTCATCTCAAAATTACCCTTTTCCATAACAAAATTTCAAAGTCCTATAACTTGAACAAAAAAATCGTAGATAAATGGGACTTGCACCAAGTGATTAGGAATTAAACTATGAATTCAAATATAGTATATATATATAACTCAAAATCGAAAATTCCCGACAAGAGGTCCCTATTCGCTTTCCACATCACAATTAATTGTAGATCATCGTTCCATTGAAATCGTCTTGTGTTACACTGCACAATAACATATAAAAACTCCAAACTGCAGATAACTCGGTAAACGCTCGGTGTTTTGTAGCAAGAGATGACATTTATTTTGATAGTGACTCAGGCTGTAACGGTAAAACGTATAAAGTTTTCATTTTGCGAATTAGTTAGTTTGAAGAATGACGCTGTATAGAAAAGTCATGTAGACTGGTTCACATTCATGCCACATAAACAGAGCGTGTGCTTTTTACATGTGTTTTTTACGTCTCGTGTTAACGGTGAACACATGTGTCATACTTATTTATACTATAATGGTCAAGTATCTAATTTTTAAAGCTTCTTCAAATCTTCAGTTACAGCAGGGGAATTGATTAACATAAACCTTGACCTTTATGTAAAGGCCGATGACTCAATTATCACACTCTTATTTAATAAAACAAATCAATTTCTTAGCAGTAGTCTTACGTAATGACAAAGAAAATCACTTAACAACCCCTGGCGAGGCAAAAAAAATTTACAAAAGTAAGAATTGGTATCGGATTTATATCAGCAATTTTCTGAGTGGCATGTTATTAAAATACAAATATAATAAGTTTGGCTTTGTTGAAGACATTTTGAATCGTAAGATACAGCAATCAAAAGAAGACAAACAATAATATCTTGATTTCTTGATATTACAATATTCCTGCCGTTTCTTCTTCTCCACTCAAAGAGCAATACTTTTGCTCTTTCGCTTGATTTAATATTTATCAAAAATTCTTCTCTAAAGCTTTACATATCTTATAATCATCAGTCAATTTTAATTTTCATTAATGTTAAATCTAGATAAATACAGAATGATTTTATATTTAAAAATTAAGATTGAATCACTTTTTAAATTTTAGCAGATTTCTCATAATAGGCCTAAGCTATTCCATAGACTAACAAACACAAGGAGTATGTTTTATCTAAGCTATTACCGTAGAGTCCGTTAGCACGAAACTCAAGCAAAAATGATCAGATTTTGATGAAATTCGGTATAAACGTGTAAACCTACATTTATCCGAACGAGTTTGCGAACCAGCATGATCCGACCATGGGAACGGGGGTTTTATGGGCTAAAAATGTTTTTTTCCATTTTTGACCCTAAAAAAACCAATTTCTTTCTAAACCATTTTTTAGAGCTTAAAAAACAAGTAATTTAGTATATTGAAGCGTTATTGTGCGCGTAATGGTTACGTAAAAAATTCAATTTAAATTTCCCATGTTATTCTTATGGAGAAAATAAAAACTGTTGTAGTTTGCTTGTTTATGGATATATGTTGATAAAATTCGGCAAATGTATTTATTTCATCCTATACTATTGACGTATGGTCAAAACACATTTTTACCTTCCCCGTAGCAGAAAACCTGTAATCACTCGTTAAATCGAATGTTATTTAAATTGAGAATAAATATGTGTCTTATTTATGGATGTATTTTAGTAAAAATGTAATCAGACAAGTTGAAATTTGCTTAGTTTGCAGGTTTGCTGTGGCAGGGGTATTTACCTGAGAGATTGGGCAAGAATATGAAATGGAAATATATATTCTACTTTATCTGGTTAACCAGATCATTATATACCCTTATCATACAGACTATGTACCTTATACTTGTACTGTTTGTAAGTTTACAAGCAAAAACAAACCACACGTACCTCAAACGAACTTACATAAGTATAAACAGTATACGATTTAACCTATGCCTGGCTTAACCTATGCCTGAAATGCCTAGATCAAACGGTAACAATAAAATCAAGCTCCTCTTCTCAACCTAGATTTTTTGAGGAGGTCAAATACCAGCCGAAACGTTTCAGTCATTTTTTCGATCACCAAGAACATACCAACAGATTTATTTACAGAATTTGCAACCTATTTGAAATATAATAACAAATATAGGTTACAATTTGTTTGTAATTTTTATACCATGCTGAGCTGTGATTGGCAGTTTATACCGTGTGATGAACTGTGTAAGACCGGAGGGTGAATACCATGTAGATGAATATTCAAACTGAAGACGCATCAATATGTATGAAACTGACATACTCTGAACTGCTGTAGTACAAACATCACACTATATACCAACAGATGAATGGAAACATGGGAAATACTAACACTTATAAGAATAATACCTGTATAACTATAACAATATCAGTCATAACCGTAATAACACCCACTGTAATTGTTTATTGGGACCACAAACAAAGAAATGTCTTATACTAGTTATTAACAATGCTACGTTGAGCCATAGACTAACCTATGTTTTATCTATGGTTGAGCATTTGGCTCATTTTACAATAATCCCCAATAAAATTTGGGTCAAAATTAGTAGTTTACGCAACGATTGCGTTAAGTTTTTACTCGTAGAAGTTTTTAAGGCACGAGCCTTGGCGAGTGCCTTAAATTTTCTACTCGTGTCGTAAAGACTATTAACGCGAGTTGCGTACACTACTTTACCTACGACAGTTTTTTAATTACTAACAATCTGGTTTTTAATTAGTAAAAATCACTACTCATTACTTCTTAGAGAGGTTATGTTTTCGTTTTTTATTGTCAGTGCCAATGAAAGGAAAGTGATGCAACGACTAATCAGCTGATAATCAGCTGATTTCCTGTAATTACGTGTTTGTAAAACTTCGTTAAAAAATACGTTACCTTTTTCAGGGAATGTGTTCTGCTAGCAGCATTCTTACCATAAATACTGCATCAGGTACAATTAGGAAAATTTTGCATTTTGTTTTTGACAACTGAATGATTATAGTGAAACAGTTAATTTACAGTTAGATCTCGGCATCGAATATTATAAAATATTATAAACAGTTTGTTCTCTCATTTCCATCTCGTCAACTTCATTTTCACTAACTGACATCATTAAATCAATTTAATCTACCTTCCTTTAACTTCCACAAACTTAGGTTAAGAATACGCGAGTATCAACAGGAACAAGTCAGATCAACAATTAAATTGGTCAACTGATCAGCTGATCAGCTGACTAGTTGAAAGTCGTTCACAGCATTACAATTTTAATTCTTTTCTCTTAATACTTGAACCTCATTGGTCCGCTACCTGTGTTGATATGAGAAAAACTATGCTGATATGAAAGTAAACAGCTGTTAAGTGAAACTTTTCAATTCTAAGAACTGAACTGGTCGTAGGTAATAGTTATTTGTGCAACTAGAGAGAAAAGTGAGCAATTGACTCACTCGAGAGAAATCCTTACTCATGAGCTGTAGGCGAGTGAGGAATGGTTTCTCGAGTGAGGCAATTGTACTTTGAACTCAAGTTGCACATTATACTTTTCCTACAGTTACAATAAAACAAATAAATTGGTGAAGAAACATAACCTATTTTTACACAGAAGTGAACTTTTAATATAACATTTAACGTGAAGTGACAAATAGTAGATATAATACCAGAATATGACCCCACTTTCGGCGTTTTAGAGGCACTTTTAGGGCACTTTTTATAGGGGAAAAATGAGAAAAAAATGGAAGAGCTTTTTTTGGCCACTTTTTTTAAAGACCCAGCTCTCGACCTATACACCCCTATATAAATTTTCTACTTTTGTTAATACTAAAAATCACGTCTGGAAATGGTGAGCTTTTTTTGGCCACTTTTTTAAAGACCTGGATCTCGTCCAATACAAGCCTATATAAATGTTCAAACTCCATTAAAATTTCAAATCCACATCCATTCCCATGTATATTTTCAAAATCATGT